CCCGTTTTCAGTGACCGATTTAGAGCTCGCCATGACGATTCCATGGTCTGCGTATTAGCTGAGGCTATCGGATCAATGAAATTTGCTGAATGGTTAACAATAAAATTATGGTATCCACTAGACGACAAATTAAAATATCCTTCCATAAGTCTGTTACTAGAATAGTACCTGGATTGAGATGTTTCAATACTAATGGGATTAGAATAGCTGCGTCCCGTTTGTTTTCTGGGCAAATCTAAATCCGGTATCTTCCTCCCCTTCTTTCCCTGTTTGACGTGTCAACGTCGACATTTGTTGCCATCATCCATAACATCCATACTCCTTCAACCATCCTTCCTCTATTATATTTCCGTTTACCGATTTTACATTAATCAATTTCAGCCACTACCCCGTCAACCCCTGACAGTTGCTCTTCTTCGTATTTGCTATCTATGTAGCAAAAACAAACCTCCCTACAATCTGACAGCCAATTCGAGATGGTTCTCCTACTAGTTTGAGATGTAGATGAGCTTGTTTCCCTGATCAAAAAATCATAGTTTACAACATTGATATAAAAGAAATAAACTATTGTAAAAATGTTATTAAGGCCAAACTTTGCATTTTCAAAACTTTATTTTCCAGAGAGTTCTTTCAAGCATCGTTTCCACCATTATCGCTTTTTCGGCATCGGAATATTACGGAGTTGTCACCACGAACTAGCCACTTGTTTTCGTTCTGTCCCTACTGTGTGTAGGAAACTCATATGAAAATCCTAGTTGTGTTGTGTACACCACTAGGATTTTCATATGAGTTTCCTCCAAGAAAAACAACTAATATCTATTAGCAGAATGCTAAACTCGCAATCTCAATCCATACCAAAGGTCACATTTACAGTATATTGTACTACTCAAGTCAAATGACCCATGAAGGGCAGACATTTAGGAATGTCTTAATATATTTTTTAGAAAGTAATAGTCGAAGTTGAATCTTTACGATTGACGGTTATTTGTTTCTAACACCCAAATCACCTAAAACATTCTTACAACGATTTAAAACTATTCCTTGACATCAACATTACAACTTTGTTAATGATTTTTTGGGAGGCAAGGCTTCCTTTTATTATCTCAGCAATTACCCAAACTCACTGTAGAACTTCAGGGCTCTGGTTGGGGGAGACATCTAACGTGGCTAATAATCGTGGAGAACAGGTAATTATACGGGTAAAAGGGTAATTCTAGCGGGGAATTCCTGATAAAACCCGAGATTGATCCCCAAAGTATGGAAATATTCTTACGTAATACTGAATAAAATTGAAATTTCTATTGTTGATTGATATTTTCATTCGATAGTACTGTACCCTAAAGCGATAAAAAAAAAAAAAATTAACGGTGGCATTTTAACAGTAAATGTGACCTTTTACGAGTGCTTTGTAAAGTACTTTTGAGTACATTGTGTGTCCAGTCGGTGGAGCGGGTTATTGGGGATCGCTGATACATGCGCTGTAGTAATCGCTACAGCACAAACGTGTCGTAACGTTACCATACTCCATTACTTTACTCATTGTTAAGTATATATGTATTATACTACGTTACTCTATGAACGTTACTCTATGACAGTGACGCATGCAGACGTGATTGTTGTATTAATTGTTGATAGAAATACATTCAACATAATTGTCAGATTACTTAGTTACAGTGTTAAATGCATTATGATAGTAACTTCACTTCGCTCCTGTAAACGTGAAAGCTACCTCAGGCAGTAATTCACCGTTTGTCGACAGTGGTCACTATTACTTTAGAACAATGATACATGCGACTTAATCACTAAATCATCTAGACTTTTGCAATCGATGTTATAAGTTTGTTCCAAATTATTTCTACTTGCTGCCAGAGTCATTTAAAAGACATGGTGAATTTTATTTGAAGACTATGCTACATTTTCAAATCTGTAGGGTTGCAAATTTTCGTTTGAATTATAAGCCTATCGAGTGTTTTTTTTGTAGTTTTTTCTTTTAAAATTTTATTCTAGCCATCCAAACCAAACATAACTTGTCAATTTAACCCGCAAACGAGAACCCCCGCATTTAAATGAACTAAACGCGACAACGACATATTTAGTTGTACAATAGAGGAGTTAGTATGTAGCTAACCTAGGATTCTTAATTAATCTCGTTTTATTGTTTATACATTCGATTACATGTAACGGGCTCAGACATAGATGTATATTCTTCGTCTACCATGCCTTGTAAATAACGTTAAATCACGTAAACTTAGGTGGACGTGACAAGCGTTAATTTCAGATAACGAGATAATTCATCTCATGAAACTACTGCTTGAACCAACATTACAACATTACTTCACTGACACAAGGTAGCTCATACAATCAGAAAATTGAAACCTTTACAGTACAATATTTTTTTACTTAATCTCTAAAATTTAACCTTAAATGATACTTGTAGACCTACAATTATTTTAAACGGGAGTTTTCATGATAACTAAAATTTGAAATTGGGTTGTTGGTTATGTAAGGAACGATTTATAGTTTGAATGATTACTTAAGTTGGACAATAAATTTGAATATTAATCAGCAAATCAATTTAAATGTTGAAATTAAAAGAGATGGCAAAATGCCCCAACCGCACCAAAAATACAGGATAAGTGAAAATCCATTTGCCTTCTTAGATTTTCACTTTCAAATGTCAAATTTATTCCCCGTTTAAATAGCATTACGTTACACGAGTACTTGCTGCTCCTTGGAATGGTGTAGTTTTAGTAAAATGTTAATAGTTTGAAATTAAAATAAATTAATTTGCCAAATTTTATAAAAATATAGCTATGAACAAGCGAATTACAACAGTTCAGTTATTCCTCATAAAAATTATATAGGAATTACATTTTTTTTCTTCTTCATAACCAGCGAACAGCAAATCTTCCATAGCTTGTTTGTTTTTAATCTCTACGAAATAAACGTTGGTTACATGTTTGTACAAAATTACATCAAATTCAGATTATTTTTTCTCGATTTGTTGTGCTAAAGGACACCATACTTGTTTTTGGCCTCTAGGGACATAAGAACGGAAAAGTATAAGCCAACAGTCCCGAGTCTTACCATGAGACCTGCGGTAAATACCACCATGCTCATTCCCGAAATATGGGGAATTCACTAATAGAAATATTAGTTGTCCATTTACCATTAACCATTGAAAAGAATAAGTAAAAAATAATATCTGTTTTCATTAAGTATTGCTTTACTTTGTGATAATTGCACTAGTTTTATTGTGCCGACGTCGCTGTCCGCGCTAGCAAACGGAATGTATTGTGTTTGGATGAATTAAAAAAATACATACAATTGAGAAACATTCACTTAAGTACCATACAGTACACACAAAGCAGCATTATTGCTCCAAAATACTGTATTGAATGTTAGCTACAACTAGTAGCACGGGGATTGGTAGCTGAGCTGATGTATTCAGCAGCACAGCAGCACAGTAAAGGCATGTAGACAGCCGCTGATAGGCAATAGCGGGACTGTTCTGCATATCAATGAAGCGTCATCAATGGAATTAATAGTTCCTGGCCTTGCAATTTCGGAACTCATCATAAAATATAATATACAAAACATCGAGCTAAAATTTGCAAAACCCTTAACCCAAACTACAAATTAGGAATAAAACAGTGATAGATAAATGACGAAAGCATCTCCTAAATATAGATCTACAAAGCAATATTTAAACAGTAATTTATTCAGCTAAAGAAGAGAAAGAAACCTCACAGTGATTTTCTTGTCAAAACCGAGTGGAAATCTCTCAAAACCTCTGTAATAATTAATAAAGCTTTTGTTACGCGGTGCTCTCTGAGGCACTTTATTGCCAAAGCAGAAAAGTACTTAAAACTTTAATTCTTTCAGTTGAGTTTCAATCTCAACGTTCGAATATTGCAAAGCTCTTTTAAATTTTTTTTTTTTTCATAACACAGTAACCTAACAACAATTGTTATCTGTTATTACAGTTTTAACACATTTACGAACGATGGGCCTATTAACTGTAACAATATTACTTATATTGTTGACTGATTTTTTTGAACCGATACTACAGGAACTGGAGTTTGACCTGAAAATGATAACTCCACCAATTTTAATAATGTAATAAAGAATTATTAATAAAACACATATCTGTGTTTATGATCCACTGCACGAATACTCAAATCGATGCAATCAAGTACCCCACATACTAAAAGTGACATTGTTAGTGATTTTAAACACAGAGAGCATGTTTTTCACCAGGCTTACGAATTACTTCAGTAATGTACGGCGAGAACCTCGTCAAGTACTCGTCCGCCAATTGACAAAGGACTCGTGAACCCAATCGGGCGCAAACACGTTAGGGATCATTCTTAGGCTAAAAACGAAATGCTCGTACCTTTAATGGCCCGAAACGTCCAATTTACTTACATAGCATAAGATTTAATTTACAATAATTTTTAATTTTTTTTACGATTTTAAAACTTATTTTAATTTCGTTGGAGTTGGTCTTGATTACCTCTCAATAAGACTTTCCATTATTGTTGACGTGCTTCAACTTTATATTTAAAAAAAACTCCATGACTTAACGTCTTAGGGATATCAAATAAAAACGGGCAAAATTTTGCAAATTTTAGTAAAAATTATTTAATACATGAACATATGTATAGTATGAGGCTTATAACATAAAAATGTTTAATATTTATTTAAAAAAAAAATCAAGTAATGTTTGATGCATTCAGTTGGGAAAATTGAAATGGATGAAGTTTCAATATAACTTTAAAGGGTTTTGGCTGATAAGTGATCATTTCGCCTGCAACTAAACATACGGTAGAGCCACTTGATTAGTTCGTATCCAAAGCGCAGTGCGGTAGCTAACATAAACTAGTAAGCTGCCTTGCAGATTACATGATGGCCGGAAAATATATTTTAAATTCTAGTACACATACAAACTCACCAACATATAGATGCATCCATTAACATATATTTGTTTTATGTTACAGACAGCAACTTTGTGCTGGGCAACGCGCAGGTCCCTGCAGTGTACCCGATCGTCTACTGCTCTGATGGATTCTGCGAACTCACGGGGTTCGCGCGGGCGCAGATCATGCAGAAGGGCTGTGCATGTAAATTCCTGCACGGACCTGACACAGCGGACGACCACAAGTCACAGATCGACAAGGCGTTGGAGTGCAAGACTGAGCTCAAACTCGAGGTTATATTCTATAAGAAAAATGGTGAGTACAACTGTCTTGTTTGTAAAATTTTTAGTTATCGTCGATTTCGCTCTTTTTTGGTTTCCAGTTACCAAGTTGGTTTGATTAGGTAGGCTATTATCAGCATGGAAAGGTATCAGGTCCGTGAAGTTGGCGTACCCATATTAGCGTATCCACTTTTGATCATACCAATCGTTAGTTCATCGTTAGTTCTCGATAGTTCCCAAATTTTTTCGTTAGTTCTCAAAAAATAAAAAAGTTATAGCCGATTATAAGTGGGTACGCTAACTTCACACTTCCGGGTTCTAGCACGTGCCGTTTTCTGAGGAGAAATGTTTACATCTATATACCAATCGTTAGTTCTTCGTTAGTCCTCGATAGTTCCCAAATTTTTTCGTTAGTTCTCAAAAAATAAAAAAGTTATGAGGCATACAAAGTGGGTACGCTAACTTCACAATTGTACAATTTCCAGCGGGAACAGTTTTTTTACTATAAATGCCTATATCTATATACCAATCGTTAGTTCTTCGTTAGTTCTCGATAGTTCTCCAAAATTAACGTTAGTTCTCAAAATATTAAAAAGTTACGAAGCATAAAAAGTGGGTACGCCAACTTCACAGTTATAGAATTTCCAGCGGGCACAGTTTTTTTACTATAAATGCCTATATCTATATACCAATCGTTAGTTCTTCGTTAGTTCTCGATAGTTCTCCAATATTTACGTTAGTTCTCAAAAAATAAAAAAGTTAAGAGGCATACAAAGTGGGTACGCCAACTTCACAATCATAGAATTTCCAGCGGGCACAGTTTTTTTACTATAAATACCTATATCTATATACCAATCGTTAGTTCTTCGTTAGTTCTCGATATTTCTCCAATATTTACGTTAGTTTTAAAAAAATAAAAAAGTTAAGAGGCATACAAAGTGGGTACGCTAACTTCACAATTGTACAATTTCCAGCGGGAACAGCTTTTTTACTATAAATGCCTATATCTATATACCAATCGTTAGTTCTTCGTTAGTTCTCGATAGTTCTCCAAAATTAACGTTAGTTCTCAAAATATTAAAAAGTTACGAAGCATAAAAAGTGGGTACGCCAACTTCACAGTTATAGAATTTCCAGCGGGCACAGTTTTTTTACTATAAATGCCTATATCTATATACCGATCGTTAGTTCTTCGTTAGTTCTCGATAGTTCTCCAATATTTACGTTAGTTCTCAAAAAATAAAAAAGTTAAGAGGCATACAAAGTGGGTACGCACACTTCACAATTATAGAATTTCCAGCGGGCACAGTTTTTTTACTATAAATACCTATATCTATATACCAATCGTTAGTTTGTCGTTAGTTCTCGATAGTTCTCCAATTTTTTCGTTAATTTTTAAAAAATAAAAAAGTTATGAGGCATACAAAGTGGGTACGCTAACTTCACAATTGTACAATTTCCAGCGGGAACAGTTTTTTTTTACTATAAATGCCTATATCTATGTACCAATCGTTAGTTCTCGATAGTTCTCCAATATTTATGTTAGTTCTCAAAAAATAAAAAAATTACGAGGCATACAAAGTGGGAACGCTAACTTCACAACTATACAATTTCCAGCGGGCACCGTTTTCTGACTATAAATGCTTATATCTATACACCAATCGTTAGTTCTTCGTTAGTTCTCTATAGTTCTCCAATATTTACGTTAGTTCTCAAAAAATAAAAAAGCTACGAGGCATACAAAGTGGGTACGCTAACTTCACAATTATAGAATATCCAGCGGGCACCGTTTTATGACTATAAATGCTTACATCTATATACCAATCGTTAGTTCTTCGTTAGTTCTCGATAGTTCTCCAATATTTACGTTAGTTCTAAAAAAAAAAAAAAAAAAAAAAAAAAAAAAAAAAAAAAAAAAAAAAAAAAAAAAAAGTTACGAGGCATACAAAGTGAGTACGCTGACTTCAAAATTATAAAATTTCCAGCGGGCACCGTTTTCCGACTAAAAACGCTTAAATCTATATACCAATTTTTAGTTCCATGCATTGTAATTTGATTCATCTTCACACAATGAAAATCAAAGTAACACTGACATTAGAATAACTATCACATTATGATTCTCTCGAAGAGAAAGGATTGCTTATCAGTTCCAGGATAGCGCTTATCTGTGATATCCGCAATAGTAGTTGCAGGTGTCACTCGGTTAGATTATTTTTTAGGAGTGATAATTTTGATTACGTTATCAAAATGATTAACAGTTGAATATGTTCAGTTAATTAGAACATCCAAAAAAGACAACGCTTCCAAAAATTGGTTTTAGATAAGCAATGAAATCATATGTATACCTACTTAGTTGTGTGAAAAAGTGCATTTTATAAAAAGTCCATCATGGAAACAAAATAAACTATCCATCAAAATGAAAACCAGAGTCTGCTAAGTAAAATGGTATAAAGTAATTTATAAGCAGTGATTATTTGAATTGGATTAAGCAGATAAAATATGTACGATCAAAGAACTTCTGTTTGGTTAATTAAACTAATCGTTTGTATTGTTTGTATTTGTTTGTGTTCGGTATTAGTATTATAAAATTACATCATTAAACGTAACACGTTACGAGTGACAGTTGCACGGATCGAGACTGGAAGGTCATACGGACTTGAACGAACTGGAGACTGGAGTAGTGGATGGAATAAATGTGTACAACACATTACTAGCATGGCGTATTGGGTATGGCGGGGTCGAGACGATATTTATTTAGTTGTATAGTAGTATACTGTAAGCATTTTTCGTTGAATGAAGGTGCGCGCTGGAAATCAGAAGCATTAAATAAGTTTATCTATTGATTATTGGCTATACGTATATTTATTTATTTTTTTTAGAACTAACAAAATAAATGAGTGAGCCAATCTTACGATTAAAATTAAGATATAGGCACTTTTAGTCAGACAAGGGTGCACGCTAGGAATGATTTGGGTTTGAGGTTGGCATAACCACGTTTAAGACCTTATTGCCTTTTTATTGTTTAAGAACTAGTAATAATATTGAGGAACTAACACGACATAACGAAGAACTAAAAATTGGTAAATAGATATAAGCGTTTTTAGTCAGAAAACGGTGCCCGCAGGAAATTTTATAAATTTGAAGTCAGCGTACTCACTTTGTACGCCTCGTAACTTTTTTATTTTTTTTAGAACTAACGTAAATATTACAGAACTATCGAGAACTAACGAAGACCTAACGATTGGTATATAGATATAGGCATTTATAGTCGGAAAAAGGTGAGCGCTGGAAATTGTATAATTGTGAAATTAGCGAACCCTCTTTGTATGCCTCGTAACTTTTTATTTTTTGAGAACTAACGTAAATATTGGAGAACTATCGAGAACTAACGAAGAACTAACGATTGGTATATAGATACAGGCATTTATAGTCAGTAAACAGTGCCCGCTGGAAATTCTATAGTTGTGAAGTTGGCGTACCCACTTTTTATGCTTCGTAACTTTTATTTTTTGAGAACTAACGTAAATATTGGAGAACTATAGAGAACTAACGAAGAACTAACGATTGGTGTATAGATATAAGCATTTATAGTCAGTAAACAGTGCCCGCTGGAAATTCTATGGTTGTGTAGTTGGCGTACCCACTTTTTATGCTTCGTAACTTTTTTATTTTTTGAGAACTAACGTAAATATTGGAGAACTATCGAGAACTAACGAAGAACTAATGATTGGTATATAGATACAGGCATTTATAGTCAGTAAACAGTGCCCGCTGGAAATTCTATAGTTGTGAAGTTGGCGTACCCACTTTTTATGCTTCGTAACTTTTTAATATTTTGAGAACTAACGTTAATATTGGAGAACTATCGAGAACTAACGAAGAACTAACGATTGGTATATAGATATAGGCATTTATATCAAAAAAACTGTTCCCGCTGGAAATTGTACAATTGTGAAGTTAGCGTACCCACTTCGTATGCCTCTTAACTTTTTTATTTTTTGAGAACTAACGTTAATATTGGAGAACTATCGAGAACTAACGAAGAACTAACGATTGGTATATAGATATAGGCATTTATAGTAAAAAAACTGTGCCCGCTGGAAATTCTATAACTGTGAAGTTGGCGTACCCACTTTTTATGCTTCGTAACTTTTTTATTTTTTGAGAACTAACGTTAATTTTGGAGAACTATCGAGAACTAACGAAGAACTAACGATTGGTATATAGATATAGGCATTTATAGTAAAAAAACTGTTCCCGCTGGAAATTGTACAATTGTGAAGTTAGCGTACCCACTTTGTATGCCTCATAACTTTTTTATTTTTTGAGAACTAACGAAAAAATTTGGGAACTATCGAGGACTAACGAAGAACTAACGATTGGTATATAGATGTAAACATTTCTCCTCAGAAAACGGCGCGTGCTAGAACCCGGAAGTGTGCAGTTAGCGTACCCACTTATAATCGGCTATAACTTTTTTATTTTTTGAGAACTAACGAAAAAATTTGGGAACTATCGAGAACTAACGATGAACTAACGATTGGTATGATCAAAAGTGGATACGCTAATATGGGTACGCCAACTTCACGGACCTAAAGGTATCTACTGCTTTGAAGTACTGTTCTCAGTCCACTGACACGGTTCAGAAATCGATTTCATACGTAGGCGTATTACCTAAGTATCTCTAGGTAGAAAATTATAGATTTTAGATTAAAAACCTTTACGTCCAAGGGTTTCGTCAGTAATCCCTTTAATGGTTTACAGTAGTTGAAAAATACCTCTAGTGGCTATAAACAAACGCCATGTTTATTGAGAGCAGTACCTCTTTAGAAATAAGAAACGTAGAGGATGCTATAAACTAAAACTTCCCACCCTATTGTTATAAATAACGTTTAAATCTTGAATAAACACGACATCAAAAATATTTCCCCGTGAATAGGGACCACTGGCAATATGTTTGCCAATCGCAAGTTTGCAATGGTTAGTGGGGTCACGATACGCATACAATTTTAGTGTTATTTAATTTGGTAAATA